AGTGCAAGTGTGATGTAGCACAATGATATACAATTCGAGCTAGCTGAACTCTTTATTTGAGCAAGGGCAAATGCATGCGGCATTGAGAATAAAGAACTCGGACTAAAAAAGAAAGTGGCTGGCTTTGTGTCGCAATTGAATATGGTAACATGCATTCATCAATGTGACCCCCATCGATATTATTATCATTATCACAAGCATCATCGCCATGATTAAATTATATCTTTCCAATAAACAAACTTTGAAAAATTTTCTTTTCGAAAATGTAAGTTGACCCGAGAAAGAACGGAATGATATTGGTCACGAGCGCATGCAGACTCTTAATAGGCGTCCAAATAAAAAAAAATTTTTTTTTCTTTTTCCAAAAAGAGATTGGCATTTAGTTGGTATCATAATGGTAAGACTAATTGCTGCCAACACTTTTACTAAAGATGTAGTAGTAAATTAACGGGCAGGTTACTTCTCCATTATTCACCATATAAGCAAAAATCTCACACTACTATTTCTGCTGTTGGAATCCCAGTATGTATTTTCATTGCGTTAATTTCCGATCACGATGGTTGCTTACGTCATAGCAGGACCTATTAACATAAGCAATTAAGCTATGACCATTGTTTCATGGTGTATATCGTATACTCGAAAGCCGACTATACGTGATAATAAATGTTAAGGTTAATTGTTTATTAATGCACTTTAAGCAGGTGAGCTATGACAATGATTTCAAAAAGATGATTATGGTTATTTGTCATGGTCACATCATATTATGGTCAGGCCATAGCCATATGGTTATCTTAATTTGCCCATATCGTGATAAAATCGATAATAATCATAATATGGATTGTTTTGCTATTGTTTATCAGTTAAGCTTAAAAAGTAACCAAAGGGTCCTTTCATTGTTAAAATACGAGTTTACCCGATTAATTTCCAGTTTATTCCGTTGAACAAATTCAGCATATGACCTTTTGCATTTGTGTTATTATTATGATCAGCGTTTATCCGTGAAATTCAGCAGAATACCAAGATTTACAAATAAATAATAACTTTATTTATTGGGTAAGGGAATGTTTACAATAGTGCTACATTGTTTGCTCAATCTTATGCCATTTCACAATTACCAAATAAAGAATACAGCTGTTGTATTAACAAATTTTTTATGTGGCATTTTTATGGACAATTTTCTTTCAAATTTCTATCCGCCGGCGTAATGGGGAAAGGGGTGGTGGTGGTGGTGGTGGGGATGTGGGGAGGCGCAGTATGTTTGTGGTTCTATCAATCTATTTCAGTATCATATCGTTTACTGCTTGCGTAGTTTTTACGCCCTTTATCTTATACGCACTCCATATTATAGGCAAATGAAGAGAGGATGGGGCCACAATAACCAAATTACAGCGGAAAAGACAATTGCTTGACTACAATAATACGATGTGACTTTCGAGTCATAATTATAAACCCCAACATCAACCCCCTTAATATGTTAATAGTAGTTATTACTATTTATCACTATCACTATTATTATTGCTATTGCTATTATTAAGTATTAACTCTTGTATATTAATATATAAACATTACACACTCGTACATAAATATGTATAATATATGTGATTACACAACATATAGTTATCATTATTGATGAGATAACTTTCCGTATTTAGAATCCCATTTGCCAGAAAAAAATTTTTTTCACAAACAAACGTAACAATAACGGTTGGTAAACGTTTATGAGAGATTTGGGAATTCAGTGATGATAATAATAAGGGACTATTAGTATCAAAGTGCAAGGACCACTTCACTCTATCATCACAAGTCTCATTCCGCAGTGATGTGTTTATTGGCCATATATACAGCACATACTTGTCGATATCTGACACTTTGTCTGGCACACCCTCTGGCACCTCCATAGCAATGGAAGGAAAAGATTCGTTCTATAGAACGTAGGCTGGCGTGGTAAATTGCTCATAGTCTACTGCTAATAATTAATATGAATATACTGCTTATAACAATAAATAATATGTATATACAACCAAGGTGAATGGGATATCTTAAAAGTTCTCACAATTCATACCATTTAAGATTATGTGACTATCAATCCTTATTGTCACTGCTACTATTATTATTGTTGATTTGTTGTTTATGTTGATGTTTTCAGTTAAACATCATTTCCCATTATTTTCCTTTGAACTTAATCTTATCTCTTGCATTTCTGCTTATTGTTCAAACATAAACCCTGCTAGTCATAAGACTCGATCTCGCACTGACCGAGAATGTCACTTGTGTTTTGTATAACAAACAATATCTGGGTCAATTATAAACAAAACGATAAATGTTTATTACTCGATTTCCATTTAACGCTCAGCCACCCCACCCGGCGAAGGATAATGTACAATCCACACTATTAAAGGTCATACGCGTTGACGCAAACATTGGGGAGATAAGAGACGCGTTATGCAAACATTAGGGGAAAGTAAATAAAGCCTCCTACGATCGACACAAGTCAAGACAAAAGATGGGTTTAATGTATCCGAGAATGCAAACACTGTATCTATTTCTATCCGACTTGCACAAAACATATCCGCCTCAATTAACAATGACGAAATAATTAAAAATGACAGGAAGAATAACCTGCTGTTCCATTGTTAATGCGGGATTTAAAGGCGTAAAGATTTGAAGTCTAGGCTACAAGTGGCGTAATGCGATATATCTAGTTGATAATTGTATGTTTTACAAAATGGTCTTTTTTTTCTCCAAATAACGGGGGGATTAAAGGAAACAGTATACAATTGCGAATAATGGCTGATGATACCTATTATTATCTAGTAAAGATGGCGGGATCTCTTTCTCTATATCTCTTGATTCTAAATCGTCACAGGTTTTGCAGCCTCACACCCCCCAACTCTGTTATCTCGCTTTACTTTAATGCATCACAACATCACAACCATCACAACCAGTCCATATCACGTTTCATAATTTGCGACTTGCAGAATATATGCGAGAGAATAAAGTTGTACATCTACAGAAGGGAAAAAAAGTGAAAACAGGAATTGAAGGAAATTAGGAAACAAAGGGGGTTAGCCGAGGATTGTTTATGATGAGGAAGAAAGGGGGAGGAGTAGGCGTAAGAGGAGAGAGTGGAAGGTGAAGAATAACGAAAATCGGCAGAAACGAGAAGGTATCAATGGAAAAGATAGAGACAGAGTTCCAACATTAACAATTGGGTTATATTATCATTATTAATGGTTCCATTTTTTTCCATTCATATTTTATTTATTCTGTTGCAATTGTAAATGCATATATGCAAAGCCTGCCTTCATGCATATCGGATTATCAATTACGGAATACTATTAATTGATTAAAAAAAGATACCGAATTGCTAAAAATCAGCATCTTTAACATGAGTAAATCATTGCGGGGAAGTCGACATATTGGAAATGAATGCATAGAGTGTGGAGTTGAATAAGACAAAGATGGGATAGATAAAAGCAACGAGACGTAAATGGAGAAGAGGTTTATGATTGGACAGTTGTTGCGATGAACGGAATGTTCATCAAGCTGGTTAATTAGTTGTAATATTGACTCGGCTAAACTCTCAAAGTTTTGATGCTTTATTCAGAACACCCAACCATTCATTCATACGTTGTAATAATTTTTACCAAATAAATTCCATGACCAATTAACCTCATCCCAGTATCTTCAGCTGTACCTCCATGCTTACTGACGCAACTGTTATTGTGCATCACCTGTGTGCGAAGCGACAGAGAAAAAGAGATGATACCAGATAGAAAGAATAGGTAGATGTATGTGTGTAGGTAGATGTATGTGTGTAGGTAGATGTGTGTATGTAGAGTGAAGGTGTATGTGTGTATGTGTGTATGTGTATATGTGTGTATGTGTGTAGCTAGATGTGTGTATTGTTAGTAGTATAAAGATGTCTTGTAATAATGGGTTGGAATTCAATAAAATTAAAGAACATCTAGTACGCCTTTGAGCCACACCATATTGGTCTCGCTTACAATCTACAGTGTTCGGTTTATTATCTCTCACAAGCATAGCTTGCTCCTTCTGCATATAAAAAAAAAATTTTTTTTCTTGTGATACGTTGTATTCTTTCTACTGAGAAAGGGGTGTGGATGAGTTAATACATTTAATAATAACAACAATAAGAATATTAGCGAGTAGTCATCATGGGTTTTTTTTTGTTTGTTTGCTCTTAAACGTAAATTCAGACCAGGATGCATATATCTCAACACATAGACTATTATTTATTCTTCTTCTTCTTCTTTGTCTCTTCCGAGCGTATATTTAAATATCCTCGCTATTTAATTTATGTTGTAAAAGTGCATTTCTTTGCTTGGACTTTATGCAGATAATTCCTGTAGTCGACTGCAGATTACCCGCATAATAATACTCACAAATAAATTATAATAATAGACGCAGAGGATCTATTGCAGTTGAATCTTTTTACAACGTTCGTTAAAATAATTTCTATTCTATTAAACAGCGGGTTCTGTTTTGGCTGTACTGGAAGCACTATTGTATATTAACTTACCAGCAAATAGTCTTTATTATAATCCCCCGACTTTTTTTTCTAAATAGCCTGTTCAATTGACGGTGATGCACAAGCTTTTTTTTTTTTACTGTATAAAATATACTACATTCTAAATTATCACACCCCACCCCTGTGCAGTATCTTATATAAGAAGCTTGGATGATGGCACAACTTCCTTCACCAAAGCTCGCTCCACTCTGAGATATAAAAGCAAGCCTTTGAAATCATAATCTTCCATTTTTAATCCCGCTTATAGCTTACTCTATTCTTTTTTCTTAGCTATAACAATTTTAATTCTTCGCCTCAAATTACATAATTTGTTCTGTTAGATACTATTCCTTTGTACATATATCGTGTATTTTATGTATTAATTAGACGCTCTGTCTTCGAATGATTCAAACAAATTTATACATAATAATCCCTCTTACATCTTGTAATTAATTGTCTTTACACAGAGATGACCTCTACTTCAGTCCGGTATGTCGAGAGAATGTTGAAAATGACTCCCATTGATGAGTTTAATCAATTGCATTCTTAACCTCCCTCTCCCCTCATTCCAATAACTCATTCGTCTCATTTCTGATTCTGTTAAAAATGTAGGGTCGCTTTGAGGATACGTCCTTTGAACAACAAGGAAATACAGCAAAGATGTGATCCATGTATTACAGTAATAGAAGGCGCACCCCAAGTACTCATTGGCACCGACCGTTCATTCACATACGACTATGTCTTTCCCTCAGAAACTCAACAGGATGACGTGTTCGATGATTGTGCAAAGCCCCTTCTCGACAAGCTCATGGAAGGGTAAGCAAAGCAAGAAAAAAATTTTTATTGCTCGTCGTGTTATTACGTAACGTTTGACAAGATTAAAAAGATAACGTTCACTGTGGATATCACACAAACTAACTCGTTACATAACAAATTATCTACCCCCCCCCTCCCATCACCACAGTTTCAACGCTACAATATTAGCATATGGGTAAGTAAATTAATTCCAAGTCTTTTATTCGTTTTGGTATAAAAATTAAAAAATCATTCTAACGTACCAAAATGTATATATAGTCAAACAGGTAGTGGCAAAACATATTCCATGGGTACTGCAATAGATGGTGCTAATATCCCTCCAGAGCATCAAGGTACTATACTATTCCATAATGTAATATTGACCTTGTCACGAAATGTACTTAACTCTCATATTATGTGACACCCTTACCTCAGGTATCGTCCCGCGCTCTATCTTTCGTCTCTTTGGTGATTTGGAAGCAAAAAAGGCCAAATATCCAGATTTTTCCTACGAAGTATTCGTAACCTTTCTCGAACTATACAATGAGGATTTAATTGATCTGCTGAATCTTGAGAATAAGAAAGCCAAGAGCGAGTTAATGATTAGAGAAGACGCTAATGGACAGATATACTGGGCTGGAGTGAAGGAAGTCCCTGTGTTGACACCAGAAGAAACATTAGAGTATGTGTCGAAAATCAATTGACGAATTCATAATAATACCACCCCGTCCATCTATTAACCATATATCACATTTTCAACAGGCAATTACAAAAAGGCTCTCTATGTCGTACTGTAGCATCAACAGATATGAATTCGGTATCGTCACGATCACACGCCATATTTTCAGTAGTACTGAAGCAGACGAAAATAGAAGAACCAGAAGAAAACAAGGAAAATGAACCTGAACAAACTGAACCGCAAATGAAGCGTAATAGCAAAAAAGTATCAGCAAAAATTACATCAAAATTCCACTTTGTTGATTTGGCTGGTTCAGAAAGAGTAAGTCCCCCCATCTTCTAGCCCCGTACAAAATCATACCTATATCATCTTTGCATTTACTAACCCCGTACAAACTATACAATTACTAGTTAAAGCGGACAAATGCGGTGGGCAATCGTGCAAAGGAAGGCATTGCCATAAACGGTGGTCTTCTTGCCCTGGGCAATGTAATCAGTGCACTTGGCGATGCATCTCGCAAAGTAACCCACGTCCCATACCGTGACTCCAAACTCACTCGGCTTCTTCAGGATTCCCTCGGCGGCAATTCTCAAACTCTTATGCTTGCTTGTGTGTCGCCGGCCGACTCTAATTTTATGGAAACCCTAAACACCCTAAAATACGCCAACCGTACTCGTAACATTAAAAACAAAGTCAGTGTCAATGAGAGTTATGGTGAATCTTCAGTAGAAATAAATCGTTTGCGATCACAAGTCAGTCAGTTGAAGATGGAATTGCAGACTCTTCGTTCTGGCGGTGTGGACGCAGAAGTTGCTAGAAAGTACGAAGAAGAGATAAATCGTCTCAAAGGCGAATATGGACAATTAAAGATGAAGATGGCAAATACAAATCAAGAATTAAATGAAATACATGCTCACCGAGATACTTTGTTAATGGAGTTGGACTTGAACAAGAACGCCGGATCTATGACTGAGGAAGAGCGAACGGCAAAGATAACATCACATCCTGTTATACAGCAATATGTCGATCAAATAGCGGAACTCAAGGCACAAGTTTTCGAATTGCAGAACGCACAGATGAAACCTGTTCCAGCCGCACCAGTTCAGCCAATACATTCCCAGTCATCACGGAAATCTTCATTTGCCGGAAATTCCTCCAGGGACAAGGGACACATAAAATTCTATGAACAAGAAAATTCTCGTCGTCATGAGAGCAGTCGACATGACAGTCGACACGATAACGGTGACCTTTCTGGTAGCGATGATAATAAGAGACATTCAAAGAAGAAGAAGAAGAGATCCAAGAAATCAAAGGGATCAAGCAAACATCGTGCAGCTGGACATTTCCCGGTTTCAGGCGAGGAACCACACGATACACAAGGTCAACTAGAAACGCAAGCCGAACATGAACCAGTACAAACATTCGTCAAGCCGGCTGTTCTAGAGAAATCTAAAGGACTATTTGCTGACTTACCTCCAGATACAGAAGATTATGATGACGACAACGAAGATCTCTCTGCAGATCCTCAGGACGACTTTGAATACACGGACAGCAATGGTCAAAAGGTAACTCGAAGACTCCGACGGCGCAGTGTCAAGGATACTCTTGAGAAAGCCAAAGAACAGATTCGACAAGGTCTACTATTCATAAAGAATGGTGGCTCGTTACACGATGATCCTGTTCTCGGTCAATTGGTAAAGACACCATCTTCTACAAAGAGTGAAAGCTACATTGACCAAATGTTGGCTGGAAAGAACGAAAAACGCCGATCGAGCAGTGTGTCATTCAGCGATATTCCGACAATGGACGTTCCATCTTGGCAAGAATCAAACCCTCCTCCACAACAACAGACTCGTCGTGCTTCCAACTCCAGTCGATCTGTCAGTTTCTCTGACCAACCAATATCTCCACCATCTACCAAATCTTCACAGGACAGTACCGGAGGCTCGTCTCAACAGAATGCTATTGCACTCAAGAGAATGTTGCATCAGATACAGGCTGACATTGCTGTCAAGGAAGAACTGGTGGCTCAACTAGAACGTGCCGAACAAGAATTCCACTATATGCGCACTGCATACGAAGAGAAACTGGTTCATATGCAAGAGTGTTTGATCCAGTTACAACGTGAGCGTGAAATTGCGGTGAAGCGTGCTGCCAGCTCAGGTGTTAGCACCCGCGACAAGAATTCAATCTTGACTGAATTGAAGGCGCGTTATGAACACAAGATGAAGAAACTCATTGGCGAAATCGGTGCTTTACGTCGCAAATGCAATGACATAACTCAAACCCATCAGACGGCCAAGACCCAGAATGAAACGACGATGCGAAACATGCGTATTCAGATCGAACAGCTCAAAGCAGAGAAATTACGTATGATCAAGCGAATGAAGGCCGAAGCCGATCGTGTCCGAGAAGTAACTGAACGCACTCAGCGGGAGATCCAGAACCTCAGACGCAAGGCAAAGGCAGTTCAGACTGAAAAGAAGAAACTTGAACGCCAGACCGAGTCTCAAAGACTAATGCTTGAAAAGAGAACCAAGGATATGCTTAAAGCGAATGGCAAACTAAAGTCTGTAACGTCATTATTGAAACAGACTACGACTCCGAAAGCAATAGCCAAGGTATTCAGACAGAACAGACGAAAGACAAGTATAGACATGGATAACAACAGCCCACCTGGAAGTCACCGTACTTCAGACGAGATCCGTGCAATCGAGGAAGAAATCTATGCCAGTGGTTACGATAAGAAGAAACTTCTCGACACTGCTATATTTCAATTCATCTCTGGCAAGCAGTCGCTGGCAATGATGGACGATATGGTCAAGAAACGTGATGAGCTAAATAACGATAAACAAGAAGCTCTCAATGAGCGCGAAAAGATAATGACCGAAAACTGCGACGAGTATGGAAATCTTGATCCGGCTACCGAAGCAGTAGCCCAGGATCTTGACGACAAGATTGATATGATCAATTCTGAGATTACATACATCAATGCTAAGCTGAGATCACTGCAAGCAGAAACAGCTCGTAACACTCAGCCCGAAAGCGAGTCACGTAGGAATAGTGAGGATGTTAATCAAAAGTCAGCTCAACCGAGCAAAAGTAATACAAGCACTAAAGAAAGACGCAAGGGCAGTACAGGTGCCAAGAAGAAGTTCTCCATCTCACAAATACAGAGCGCCACTCCTGAAGCTGCATACGATCTTGCAATGACTATACTTCGTAACCTGGATTCGTTTGAAACTCAGGCAATAGTAGAGTCATTCTTCAACGACATTGTCAAATTACGAACAACCGACTGGTCAGCTCAAATGACATTGAAAGATCGAGAGAAGACTATTACAGACCTACGAAAGACGCTATTGGCAATGCGCAGAGCGGCAGTACTAACAACAGTTCAATATGAGAAACGCAACAAGATGCTAGAAGATGAAATGAGACGTGGATCGATGGACTCTGATCGTACACCAAGCCCGATATCGCCCACCACTTTGGAATTACACATGACTGACATTGAAAACGACGCACTCAATACGATGGACTTCTTTGATCGCATTTACAAGCAAGTCGAAGCAGAAGTGACATCACCGGGACCGATTACGTCAGAAAGCATTCACGATGCTCCGATAGGCAAGCCATTAAGCAGAACATCCTGCTTCAACGAAGATTCATACTTTGACTCTCCGACTGTATACTCGCCTCATTCGCCGAGAGAAGCATCCAACTCTAAACGTAACAGCTTTGCTCGCGCCCCACTACCGCCAGGATGGCTCAAAGACCCAACCAAGCGCAAATCGTCAGCGGGGTCGGGCCAATCGGATTCACGCCGAAACTCTCAACAACATGATCGTTTATCAAACTCGCGACGCAGTTCACAGCAGTTGGATCGCGGATATGAATCTCCTCGATACTCGGATGAAATAGAAAAGAGAAGCTCTCTGGGTCGAAGTGGATTGTCTGGTTCAATCGCATGGACTGATTCAATAGACTCTGCGGTCACATTACATGACAAGTACGCACCTGATAGTCCTCGCACGCCGGGAGAGAAACCACGCCGGGATATACGAGATCGACGAGGCTCATTACGCGAAACTCATAGTAGACGAAACAGTGTTAGTAGTCTAGGATTGTACAATGATCGCACACCAGATGGCATGAGAGAACATCGGGATAGTGGATATTATGGATCGGTTGACAAAAAACGAATGGCGAATATGGCACGCAGAGGCTCCAAAGATCTTACACACATGCGTCAGAATTCGTACGGTGCGCAGCCTGATGACGATAACGTTAGCGTATGCAGTGATCGATGTGTCCATACACGATCGAATACTCCAGATATACCAAACGTGTTTGATCGGTTATCACAGTCTCATACGCTATCGAGCAAGTATCGAGACAAGAGGCTACAGACTCCTGAACCGGTATACGCCACATAGTCTTTCTAGTTCGAGTTTTAAAAGTATTACATCTACGTTCGGACTTTATATTAAACATTATCAAAAAAAAATTTTTTTACTTGTCTATATACCCCTTCTCTCTAATTGTATATAAATTGTTTGGTCCTTCCCCTTTTTCCTTTTATCGCTTTCAGATGTCAGATAAAAGCTTTGACAATGTCTGATTTGATGTCAATTTCTTTAATTCTCGAATCGAAGTTAGTAATAGGTAGGTAGCTCATTATTGTCTCGACAAAAAATTTCTTTTTTCTTTTCTTTATTTCAAATCTGTATAATATGGATTCTTGGGAATTAGGTTGATGTGTAGTTTTATTAAAAAACGTAAGTATAAAAAAAAATGAAAAAGTTACAAATTCTTTAAAATAAAAACAACAATGCTATCTGTTAAAATGAAAACAACGATCGATATTTGTTAAAATCCTTTAAAATAAAAACACGATCGCTATTTGTTAAAATGAGCAATCGGGTATTGTTCAATGAGAATCAAATGAGTAGAAAGTTATTGTCTATTGCATAATACGTCATTTTTCAAAACAAACGACGACCAATGTTAGCAAAGACAGGTATTCTGATATCAAATACAAACCCAACATGCTCGTTTATCCATATATACACACACGACCCACAAATTCTGCGGACCTTATGACTAGCGTGATATTTCGTAAATTGTGGAGATGGAATTACACGAGGTGACAGTGACAGAATTTCATCACTCCCCTCCCCTCTTCCCCCACAAAAGGTACACGAATTGAAATAGTTAGTATACGTATTCCAGCTCATCCCACATCGTTTCAGCCAGTGCTCACCTGAGGCTCACGTTTAACTCACCCCCTTCCCAATTCTTATCCGTACTAGTATCACCTCTCACGTCCCTCTCCAATCCTACCCGATTTAACCTTCGTTTAATCATCACACCCGTATTGTCTTTTCACATAATCACTAGTCTACTTATCTAAAATAGATCCGACCTTCCCACAACCTGACTTCATTCTGCATCCAGGGTCATTTGTTTTGCTGTTGATGTATTGTTCAAAACAATGGCGAAACTTTATTTGTTTAGGAGCATCTTATTGTATTTACCTTTACACTGCGGCTGAGGTCGTACACTACATGATAAATTTTTAATGGTCTTTGTTTGGGGGTGGCGTTGTTGCCTTATTCGTGTTTATTGTGTGCTGCAAATGAAGGAGGTGATAAGATTTTGGATGGTAGGAACAATGGAATCATAAAGAGAGAGAGCGAGCGAACAGACAAACGTATATGCGGACAAACGTATATACGACCGACATTGCTACAGTAAATAATAGTTTTATAGTACGGACTTTTTAACAGTCGTTCAATTTGCATGTCGTGCCAGCGTTACAGATAACAGACGTAAACATCACATGTAATCTATGGTTGTGAAGAACCAGTGTCACGACAGAAACTCCAGGCAGATATCACACAAGATACAAACACAGGAGCACAGTGCTGCGTTCTACGTGAATTGAGTTTGGTAGCAACCATTGCCCCGCCTGCAGTTCATTTGCCGTACATCGTTGTGCATTATCCGTACATTCACTGGCATAGTCAATGGGGCTATCACAAAGGTGGCTAGATATAGGCAGCAAAAAAAACCAAGATTTTTCGCATGTACTGTACAATAATAATGCAAGTCGTATTTTTCACAACTCTCTTATATTCGGGGAAAACTTCCATCTTGGTCCGCTCATACCCAAACAAACAGGTTTTTTAACCGGAACTTGTACAACTCTATCATTGTTGCAATGTAATTGTTGCGCACGATAAACAATTGCCATAATTTAATGCGACAAACGGACAAAGGTATTTTATTTTTGCCTAGATACAAGACCAAGAGAGCAAGATAAACAGCTGGTATGATGGATTATCGTAGAGACTGAACAATTATATTATGATTGACTGGGTTTGTCAGGAAAAACGTTATAGCAACATGTGCAAGATGGAAAAAATACCAACAAAATACAGTAAACCCAGTTTTTTAGGGAGATAAAATTTGTAGGCGTGCTGTGTAATGAGATAGCGTTTAAGATAACCGAAAGTAATATAGTTTAATTAACTATGGAGAGATTAACATCAACGGCTAATTTTATTATTAATCAACGCATCTGTGATTGTGGTTGCCTTTCAGTGTTTATCTTGTTTACGTGTAGAAATAATTAAGCACCGACCATCTTTAGCCACTTTGCGCTTGCTTCCCCACATTAAAAATGGCTGGGACAGTAACACATAGGAAAAATGTTAATATACATGCTGATATATGCATACTATAATACCTACTGTTGACATTACCCATCTTATTCACCCAATATAGTATATTCTCCGTTTCCATTAAATACTGTTTCTTCCTTATTTGCTAATACTTCGTTTGTATAATAGCATAAAAACAACAATTGCAACCATCGGAAAATGCCGAGTCGGTGCCTTGGAATAAATGCCGGTACATCCTTTGCGTTCTTTTATTAGTGTTACATCCTTGTGGAGTTTTGCGTTCCTTTATTAGTTACACCTACGTACATCCTTTGTGGCCCAACCCTAATCAGCTTTGTCTCACTTCAAAAACCAGCCCAAATACGGCCAGGTCAGGTTTTATGCATTTATATGCACGCTCATCTCTAATAATGTAGAACGAACAATATGAGCGTCTACAATGTGGATTAGGATGGCAAGTGCGAAGAATAATTCTTTGTTTATGAGCAGAAAGAAATGGATACACTGATGTGATAGTCGATTAAAGCAGCTAATTGGCTATGATTGTGCATGGAACTTGCAACAACATTCGATCAAACAGGGTTGGCGTGTACATTACGTAATCGTATTGCTAATCCGGATATCAGTTGAATGGATTTCGGTATTTTACGGGTTTTTTGTGACAAACAACTGGTATTTACGGCCGATAGGTTATGGTAAGTCACACATAGTTGTGTTATCACCCGATGTTTATTTATTCAAACGCCACCGTCATCGATTTAAAAAAAAAAATTTTTTTGCACTTTGCGCCAAGAAATGACCTAATGAGTGAATGGGCAGTTTGTCTTTAATACAAGATCGGCAATCTCAACTATGACACGCATAGTTTCTAAAGCTTCCTGAAAACCTTCGTATTGAAATTCTTGATCTAGATAATCGCTGATTTTTTCCAATATCCTTTGTGTAGATAATAGTGGAAGCAGAAATGTTATCCAACTGCGGAATTAGATGTGTCAATTCTTGAATCACATGAATTGTGCGTCCTCGTTAAACCAAGAAAGTTTACTTACGCACTGCATGTGGCAATTATTGAGTAAACATGAATCGAGTCCTCGCTAAATCAAGAAAATTAAATCAACAGAGGATTGACTTTTTGCCCTCTAAGTTTTGTTAGTCTCAAATTTAGCATAGTAAGTTTGCATGTTTACTATTAAGGTAGGCAAATAAACAAACTGCTCAGCAATTAATTATTTGTCAAATCAGTTGAGCTCAGCATGGAATTATTAATCAAGAATAATGTAAACGCTTAACAAGTTTTTGTTGAATAGTTTGAGAAAAAGTGTCATAGTTGGAGTAGAGACAATACTGCTGGCTTACACTCCTATTTCTGATACCATTGTCAACGCATATATTATGGCATGGTATTTAACAGGACTTGTTTTACTTGAACGTGCATAGACAGGTGTGATGTTAGTTAATAGATCAAACTTAACATAGTATTTCGGATAGAGCAATAACAATAGTGTATATTAATATGGACAGCAACACAACGTTTACAGGCAGTTGCTTTAATAGATTCGCGTAAAATTATTAACCAACCAACTTTTTGTTCTCAGCATACAAATGTTTACCTCATTGTCACTCGTCAGAGTATCATTAAATAATGACATGTTTTTCTTCAAAATTAGGGTGGGTGGTAATGTAAAAATGACTGGGTGTGTAAAAAGGTTTTGTAAATAAAAAAACACCTGATAAAAAGTCAGCATAACGTACGGTGATAATCAGACGCGTTGATATCAGTATACAATTAGACAAGCTATCAAAACCAAAGTTAGTTTGTACTAATTATAATACGGTAGCTTTCTTAGTTACGGTCAATTTATGCATAATAATAATGGGTTATGTGAAAGACACTCTTAAGGAAATGGAGAAAGGGTGATTGTTTACATACGCGTTTAATATTTCAGGGCGCCGTAGCATAAAGTATTACTATATGTGGCCCAATCGGAATCTTGCGTCCCATACTTCAGAACACTCTCACAACAAGTATAAATACTTGGCTTTCCTCCGTGACACCCTTAGTCTTACTGGCTAGGATATCCCTTTGATATGCTGCTGTTGTGTCTGAATTTGGACCTGTCTCAGTTCGGAACCCAGACACTCAGTCCAGAACTGAGACAGGTCCCCAACTGAGGTACAACACTGCCACCTCAGATCGCGAGTGAGGGGTGTCTACGAAGTCAGATGTCAGATGAGCATTATCGAATACATATTGCATAATTTTTTGTGAAGCCCTAAACGGTTTTGATCACCTATATGGTTGATTTTGTTTAGGATGACCCACTTGATATGCTGCTATCTCGTGGTAAGTGGGTGACAACGTTTATTTACGGCGAAGAGCAAAACAATTAGCGACTCTTAATGGTTGGAGTGGGTAGAATTAATTAATCTTATGTTGCAGCTTAAATTTCCATTTTCAACATAAGTTTGGATGCTGAATCGTTCTGTCTGTCTTTTGCTGATGAATCGCTGACAATACTTTTTTCTCTTACATGATTGAGCATGCAAAGTAAATCACGATAGATGAGGTTAAATTTATGAATCGAATACGCCTCGCTTACTTAAACACGAGCATAAATAGCCAATTTTTCTATTTACAGTACTTTGAAATTATTTGATTGGTTAAAATTTTATCTTTGACAAGTTGGCAAAAGATTTCGAACACCAAACTTGATCACTTGATCAACAGCTCGCGAATAGACGTCTGTGGG